ATTAAAAAAAAAACCCCATCAGTCAGTTTGCTTTTCTAATCTTTTGTTTTACACTTGTGGTGATTGTTTACATTTGGATCACTGATTAGTGCTTGAATAAGTTAATAACCTCCTTCTGTCTGTGCTCAGGCTGCAGCCCAGCAGCAGGAGTCTGAAACCACCCAGAGAGCGGAGAAAGAGGTGACACGTATGGTTATCGTCATGGTGATCTCCTTCCTGGTGTGCTGGGTGCCCTATGCCACCGTGGCCTGGTACATCTTTGTCAATCAGGGAACTGAGTTCGGGCCGGTATTCATGACCGCTCCGGCCTTTTTCGCCAAGAGTGCTGCTCTGTACAACCCAGTCATCTACATTCTGCTAAACAAACAGGTATATGATGCAAATATCTGGTTTTGTGGTACCTTATTTGAGTATTTGCTTTTTATGCTACTTTATACTTCCACTCTACCCTTATCACATTTCAGATTTAGAGTTTTTAGCAGTTCCGCCGAAGAGACATTTCCCCTCTAAACTTCTCACATGGGTTGATTCAAAAAGCTGTTCAATGCACAAAAATCTTCACAAAAAAAGATTTTAGATAAGATTGGTGATTACAAAACACAAATACAATACATAAAACATTTTTTTTATTATTTTTTTTTTTATTTCACAACCCCTCAGATTTAGCTTGTGCCCAACATGTAGGTTGGAAACCAGTGACCAACTAACTTTTAAACTGTGTATAAAGTATTTCAAACTCACTCCACCTCAACCAGCTACAGCAGGAAAATGCTGCTCATGTATTGTTGCATCAGTATTTACAGTTAAATAATGTCATACTGTATATTATTATAATAATAATAATAACATGTTATTTTACTTTAATTTTAGCTTTAAATACTCTTGTATTGTTTCTATTTTATTTAATATATTTAACTTAGTAGTTTTTTTCTATTTATCTGTACTTATTTCTGTCCCTGTGCTGCTGAATTTCCCCTTCTGAGATCAATACAGGCTTAAAAGCAGGACCTTTAGTTGTAATGTAAAAGCAACATTAGAACAGAAACAGAATTTGTACTTTTACTTTAGCAAAGGATCTGAATACTCCTTCCACTCCAGTGAAGTTGTATCATAACTGTGATTCTTTTGTTGTTTTTTGTCTCCAGTTCAGAAATTGCATGATCACCACGGTGTGCTGTGGAAAAAACCCATTTGGAGACGACGAGGCCGCCGCCGTCTCCAAAACTCAGACTTCATCCGTCTCCTCCAGCCAGGTGGCCCCCGCTTGACCTGTACCCCCTCCTCCCCCCTTCAAAGTCCCATCTGTCCCTGCACACCTAGGGACCCACCACCGCCAAGCAGCACAACGTTCTATTGGCCAATCCTCTTGACTTACCTCTCCATGTGTCTTCACTGCAGTGACACAACCGCACCTTTGCTGGGTCTGACATACTGAAGAGCCAGCATGCGTTTTTTCAATCCATTTCATCATGGAAAGTGTTCAGCTGGAGTTTAACCCGGCACCAAGGGGGTGTTGTCCATGTGATCCAACTGAACACATTCCAAGCTCCCCACTACCCAAAACACATAATAGGTGAAAATCTAATTCAGCAAACCACACTACATGATTTCATCCACGTCAGCTCTTTTTCAAGTAATTGTTGCAGCTATATATCCCGAAACGCGCTTTAAACAATCCATTTAATGAATACTTAGGTGAAATTAGTCATGAATATTAATTAAATATCTCGGATGAGTTTTTAAAGTATCTGACGGGGCTGTCCTCTGGTCTCTCTGTCTCTCCTCTTGTCTTTATGGTGACAAAGCTGAGGTTGTTAGTTTGCTTTTGGCATAGACTGAGACATGAGTGTAAACAGATGGACCTGAAAAGGGCCTCTGCAGGGATAAGGCGCCTCCTGCAAGAGAGTGGATGCGTTTGTGTGTGTGTGTGTGTGTGTGTGTGTGTGTGTGCGCGTCTGTGTGTATGTGTGTGTGTGTGTGTGTGTGGGGTAGATGTTTATGTGTTTGAATGGATGTCAGAATGTCAGTGTGTGTATTAAAGAGATATTATTTTGTTAATCGTGTAAAGGCTAGGATCTTGTGGAAGTTGTTTTGTGTCCTGCAATAAAAACAAAGCTAAATGTCTGCACGACTTTTCCTTCACTTGCTTTTTCATGAGAACTTTTACAAGGCTTTTTTGAGAAGTTCCAGATGCTTGTTTGTGGGCTTTTGGGTGGCGGGCCAAGATCTTAATAGTTTTCAAATGTTGTTAAAATTTGCTATTCTATGAAATGCATTTGGAAATGAGACACTTTTAGACTTCATACAATAAACATGGTCATCGTTGGACATTTTAAAATCCTAAATACTGCAATTTATTTCACAAACTCTGACAAGTCATTTGGCATCACAAATACAGTCTCTTCTCAGATTATATTGAGCTCACATTTTTTACTCATAAATGTAAATTTCCCTCTTTTAAATTGGTCAGAATCCAACAAGAAATTCATTCGTTTACAAGCACACTGATCAACACTTCTATACGGATGCAGCTCTTCCCAATGAACTACATTACATCTGATTTCATAAATTTCAGTCATTTATATTCTCCTCTCCACTCCTCCTCAACCCATCATCAACCCGCAAAGCACATTGGGACGTACTGTTCAAAGCACCGATGGGCGCCAGTCGCCCATCTTCAACAGTCACACCTGAGAACGTTGCAGACTTTAGGAGATGGGAGGAGTTCATCGCAGTCCTTCCTACTCATCCTGATGAACAGGCCACTTAAGAGCATTATAACACATCTATAAATATTGCTATGGACATTATAATACAGTACAGTGCATCATTGGCTCGTTCCCTTAAGAAAAGGGTTCAGTGCGTTAAATTTGCCACCAGGGCTTACTGTAGGTCCCAGTAATTGTAAAGACATCCAGGAAAAGCATCATCCCCAAGCTCCTAAACCTTCCCTCTAAAGCATAGCTGAGCCAGACTGTAATTCTGTCCATGTCATAGGGAAAGATTTGGGAAAATTGCTTGGCATTCCCAGATCAGAGGAGGAACACCTTGCAAAATGTATCACGCTTGAGAGGCAGGTTAAAGTCCATTGCTCTGCCACTTTTCACGCTTCTTATAGTCTGTGGGAACAATAATGACACTTATGAAGGCTAACTCTTAAGTGGCCGACATTCCCAAGTAATTATGTAGGTAGGAGAAAGGCAGCTGTCAGCAGGAGAAAGAGATGGCTAGTAGGAAAGACACTGGCAGGTTCAGGCTTCACTGCAGCACTCGTAGATGTTGTCCTCCACAAGGGCAATGACCTGCTCGAACTTGTGGTGCAGCTGAGTGCGACGTGCGGTGGGGTTAGACTCCAGAGCGCTCACCACCTGAAGACAAACACAACAAAGATGACTTTCAGCGGCTGTCGAGCATTCATGCATCTATCTATTAAGGAGGAGGAGGAAATCAGCCACCTGCCTGGACATAGAAAGTTGAATGAGAGAGAAAAGGGAGAGCAGCGGAGGAACAACTGCAGTGCTTCAGCCTCTTCTCCAGCCTGCATGCATGCCTCCACACCACAAAAGCTCTTTGCTCTTCACATATTTACAAAACCCACATCTGCTCTGTTATTCATGCCCAATAGTTGTCACCGTGTCAGTGGGATTTATGGGCTCTTAGCGGCAGTGTGCTACCAGGCAGAGCGAACCGAGCTGGGGCGAGAGAATAGGCAATCAGGGGCCATTCACAGAGCTCTGTGAATCAGAGTCTAAGCCTCTGGCCCACGTCAGTACAGTAGCATGACAGAGGAAAGCAGCTAAACTGTATTATCATGAGGGTGCTCCATTAAGGCACAGTCACCACTGACTAAGCCTCTCCTGAGAATAGTCACAGCAGCAAGGAAACATGGGGGAGGACAGCAAGGCTTGAAGAAGGCTAGTTCAAAGAGAAACGGTAGATATGAAGCAGCAACTTAAGAGTGTCATTAAAAAGATAGGGGTGGTGGATAAAGAGAAGGTAAACAGCACATTATCTGCTTAAAGTGAAAGGTATATGTGGGCTTGATTGGACACATTAAATGGTGGCTGCTGCTGAAAAGAGAGTTCAGATCTGATTATTTTCTTGGGATGAAAATCGTTATTTCGTGCAGATATTTGAGGACATTGAGAGACAGGTTGTTGTTTACAGTGTGCTACATCTCTCAACACGCACATGATCTTCCACGCTGATGTGTCATGCTCTGATACCCATCTGTGAAACTTAAAACACCCAAAGGGTTTGACTGAGGTGACCTCAATGATGTAGTGGCTGCAGAAAGGGGCCTGTTCAAACACGAGCGACATATCTAATCGGATCTGAGATCACAGAGTGAAGTAAAAACTTTTCTTACCTGGTTTCTGTATCTCTTGGCGTATTTGTAGATTTCTGTCAAGGCCAGGTTGGTGTTGAATTCATTTCTGTATTTCTACAGGATGGAGAACAGACATTATGTATATTAGATTAAATCCCTAAATAAATCTTGCATGTAATTGCAGGCTTTCGTTGCTCCAGGTGACTAACACATGGAAACACTTTACTCACTCGTGACTCCTCAGCCAGGTGAGCATTCATCTCCTGCTCACTGAGAGGTGGCATTTCCTGTATCTGCTGGTAGTAGCATTGCACTCTCTTCTTATACTCAGGGATTTCCTTGGCATACAGCAGCTTGTTGGTAGGGGAGTCCTGAAATAAAAAACCCAATACATTTCAGTGAGGTCTATTTTATCCCTTGATTGCAGCAATATGCATTTTAGTTTGGCAGTGTGAACAAGCTTGCCACATGTAAAAAACGTTCAACATTTATGTACAGCTGAAGGCTAAAACAGGAGGGGCTGTAAGCAATCTAGCAGCAAGGAGGCAGAGCTCAGCATTGTTGCAGTTGTGGACATGACTGGAGGTTGTATAGAACATGTGACTATAAAACAACTCCGGTGCCTGCCTGAACCGCTGCCAGGCTCCATATAAGGCACGATGTCAAAATTTAAAGCCCTGCAGAGGGCTAATTAATAATTTAACACTGGGCCTCTGTCTTTCATGAAGAGGTTTGTACATTATTGTATGGTCTGCAATCAGGTGCTAATGTCCTAATAAGGATCTGTTCAGTTGGACTGGATGTTGTTTGTTGAAGATCCAATCTAAACCAGCCTATAGTGAGACAATGGGGGGAGGAAACAGTTTCCTTTCCAGACAACAGGAGA